TAGATGTTACATATCTGAAAGGCTATTACTTAGCCGTAAAGTATTATAAACATTAGACATTAAATATTAATAATTTACCAATACATCAGAGTAGGAAAAAGTATTATAGGTCTCAACCGTTAATAATTAAAACTAAAAAACTAATCAATATAATAATTGCAATGTAGATAACCTAAAAATATTTTTTTAATAAATAATATAGGTTTGATTATATGATTGTCAAGCAATTATTTGATACATTATGGTACCGACTCAATTAAAACTTCCTTTCAAGATTCGTCATTGATCCTACCATTATAGAAATATAATTCTTTTTTATTCTCTACAATCAGTTGAAATGTATTTTATTCCGACTGGACACAATCAGCCCTAATTATATAGAATAAAAAGGGATTATATTTCTATGCTGGTAGCAGTAATGACGAATTTTGTATCTTATATATGCGAATTTCTCTTAATTAAATTTAAGTATAGCATTGTCTCGGTTGCAGTGACTGACAAGCAGAATTGATTTCCTGACATAAACATATGATAAATCTTAATACAAACGTTAAGCAACTACATTACATTTCTTTCTGTGCGACTTATGTGGTGATCGGATTATTTCCTGTGTTTGTGATTTTATGCTATTTTTTATGCTTTATCATGAATCAACTTTTTTTTTACGTTTTACATTTTCTCTGTTCGTTACGTTTACGTAGAGATTCAATCTTTAAAAACAGTTTTGATTATAATCAGTATAGAAGAGTTACATGAACGCACTGATATTCTTATTATAAGACGGTCCACCGGGAAATCACACATAATAAAATCCACTTCCATCTATTATTATTTAGCTGCAAGAAACTGAAGGTAAGTATTGATTGGGTTAATGATTTACTATATATTATATAGGTTCGTTTAAAGTTCGTTTAAATAATATTGTATTCTACATAAATTTTTCTGACTTTAAAAATTTTGTGGGATTCACAAATTGCTGACAAAAAGGAAATCTTCAAATGTATTAAAATCTAAAACGTGGATGAGGACCTAGCTGGTGGAAAACTGGTTTGAACCAAACTAAACAGTCGTATTACAGATTTATAAATATATTTAATTATTATTATCTTAATTACAAAATACCCATAATTTTTATTGCTTTAAGCTGCTAGCAATAATCAAGTAACATTATATTAGATTATATGATTAAATGGTTATAGGTATAACAAAAAAAGAACTAATCCATTTTAAATATTATCTGTAAATTATAAACTACATTCTTTAATTTTTTATTTATATGATAATATACATAACAGTGGCCTATCAATGGGAAATGGACGAAGAAATTTAGTTTTCCTCTTACATACTTAATTTTTTTTTAAATAAAACGAATTACTTATTCTTTAATCGAATAACAAAAAATATTATCTGAACTTACGCTTTGATAACTTGGTATTCGATAACTAAGGTTTTACGAAGTTTTTACAAAATTAAATTATATGTAAAAGTTTATCGAGAGCCGAATAAACATCTTCGGTCTGAATACCTCCATTAATATGAAAATTGCTTCTGTGAAGTTCATTTGTACTATTTTGTAGCACTTTTTTACTTTCTTTCTTTCTTTCTGTATATAAAAACAAATCATTACACATTAAAGTGTGTAATCTCCTTTAAAATGGGATTATAAACTTTAATATAGTTGACCGGCTAGTCCTTACATATAATACAACGATTGTGGGTAACTCTTTATAGTTATAATCCAATGGAAAAGTTTATATTTTATCTAAACTCGTATGCGGACATATAAAAATAGAACTGTTAAAATTTAAAAATTAAGTACATAATTTCAAACAGATATTACTGTTACCTAAACTTCTTTGTTAGTTTCGAGAGAGACATACTCAATAAATTGACTTTATATAGATTTCCATAATAACAACAAATATTCTTAACAGTGGCGTATTAATGTTTTCTCTATGGAAGATAGCTTAAATAAGATACCAGCTTTGTATTCCTTTTTTTGCTATAATTACAGTCGAATCGCGATAATTCGTATCCCGATAAATCGAAAACCTCAATAATTCGTAACAAACTACTAGTTCCTTGAACAAAACTTATTAATTCGTAAAATTTCCAAACATTTTGGTCCCCTCATTAATTCGTATTTTATTTGAAATTCAATGAATATCAAACCTCTTATAATTCTTATTGGAGAACAAAAAATCTGTCTGCAAACTCAAGTTGCTTTAAGACCATTCCCAGCTTTTCAATGCTTTAGCGACACAATAAGAAGGCGTGAATGATAATGGATCTATTCAACGATTCAGTTTCTGAATGATAGATAGTGCTGAATAATAGCATGAAAACTAAAAATCGAAAGCTATTTATGGACAAATATATAGCGCTTAATGGATCCCCTTATCTCAGCCACGTAAAACTAAATTCTCTGTCAGTAAACAGGGTTTATGAAATATTTTAAATTATTTTACTGCAAGGATTTGCTTAATAGCATTGATGAAAAAAAATAGTTCAAATCTACGCTATTATTTAGTTCTAATAAAGTTATACCTATATACCATATATAAAATATGAGATTTTTTCGAAAAGTAGTGAACTAGAACAACAAATATTCTTTTTCTATTATTTCAAGTAATTGAATTTTTGCTTGACCATGCAACTGTTTTGAGGATTGCCAAATACCCATCATCAGTGATCTTGAAAATAGTTTTTGTATTTAATTATTCGTAAATAATTTTTTGAAACTGCAACTACCAGGATTCGAACGCCCGCCCTGCTAAACTTGAAGTTCAGAGTCAGTGCACTTTTATGTTCGCACATTTTTCTAGATTTTTGTTAATTTTGCTGTAACAGTTTTTATGCCCTTATTCCCCTGCTAACTATGACACTGGTCAAGAATATAAAATAAAATGTTAATAAACTAAATATTATAAAAACTTTTTCACATGTGTCAACTATATTTAAACAATATATTTTCTAATCTCACGTCGGTGACAATCTAATCCAAAATTATTGATGCTAATATTAGTCCCAAATATTCAACAGCATAGAATAAAAACGGCATTATAAATTAGTAACACAAATGTTTTTAATCTTATCGCAGTAATTAGAGATTAAAGCAATATATAAAGACAATTGGTCACAAAAATTACTAACAACTTAATAGTTTTTTAATAATATTTTTATATTCAAAAATACTATATAAATCACTTTACATACCATATAAGAAATATGAAAGAATTTTAATTAACTCTTTTGCTATATTTAAGTTTACTCTATTAAAAATTCATAAAATCTAGTAGCTAAGCAATAAATAATATTGGCACAGAAAAGAAAATACAATTTAAATACTATGGCTTTTGATATGTATAGTCAAATGTGTTTTAAAAATATAGAGTATAATTTTATGGACCCGAAAATAAACGGGTGTTTAAAAATCAGATAAAACCATATGCGTATATGCGAAAATACAACACCTGAAAATGTTTGAAAGATTTTAAAATTAAATATGAAATAAAGATAAAAAGACTCGAGTGTTTCCTCTGATAGAACAATATATAAAATATTGTCTAGAATTTAATGAATCATTGCTAAGTGTCACAATCTATAGCAGACATTTGGTTATTAAGACCTGCAATAACAAAATCTACACACAATAAATAATGCAGGTGTTCGGTCATTGTTTTTACCACTTCTAATATTTATATTTGTTTAATATAATAGGCAATTAAATGGCTTTTATATACTAACACTTAATATTTTATATATATTGTTTTAAAACACTTTAATGCAAGTGTTTTCAGAATATAATTAAAAATTTTGTAATATGATTTTGTAATATCATTACTTCAGTATCCTCTGCTAGATCAAAACTATCCATAATTTTTTAGAGCTCTTATTCTAAAAATAACAAATTAGATAAATTATGTATGAATACTTCGGGAACTATAGGTCACTCTTTATTCTTCTTGTTGTTGTTTTAAATTGTTCTTAATATCAGATAAGTTTACCGAATGCCGAATGAACATCTTGGGTGTGTTCAACAGAGGTGACCGTTTAACAGAGATGTCCGCTTAACAGAAGAATCCCTTCAACAGAAATGTTAATTCAACAAACAGGTCTATTAAACAAAAGTGTCCGTTCAGCAGAGGTATCTAATTAAGTGTCAGTTCAACAGAGGTATGCACTCAACAGGGATGCCCATCCAACATCCAACAATGTTAAGAGAGTTATTTACTGAAGTTAATTAATAAAAATAATATGAAGAAGTTTACTGCAGTTAATTAATAAAAACAGTAATAAGAAAATGTAATTGTAATATTTGATGCTGAACCTCTAAGTGTAATATCAAAATACAGGAGCTGTTGAGAGCTGATATATAACTTTGAAGTAAGTATTATTTATCTTACCAAAATATTTATCATTATATATTATACAGGTCAAGACTTATACTTCTTTATTTGTTATAAATTAATAGTAGCTACACCTTACATTATTAGCAAATATATATTATATGCCTAAATTGGGTATAAAATTTCCAGATCCATATGTATATGTATTCATATAAAAGAAACTATCTTTTAGGTAAAAATATCTTTGTCTTTCTTTTTGATGTTTAGTTACAATAAATTCCTATGAAAGCATATATTTTCTATTGCGTATAGGGTATATTAAAATTTCAATCTATTGTTCTTCTGACGATAACTTTCATTCATGAAGCGTAATCAAATAATCGAAAATTTCTAATCTTAAACCACATAATCTGTTAAATACTTTGTAGTCAACTAAATTTGTATTGTTTCACCAAATTACGATTAATACACATGTAAACATATATACAACATATGTACGCTAATAAAACGTTGCAGGTGTTTAATTATCAAAACGTTATCTCCAATATGATTCCAAAATACATTATCGAAGATAAATTCAAGTACCTTAGAAAGTTAAGTAGCAATCTTAATACTTTTTGGATTTAGTTGGTGAAGGTTCGCGATTATAGTTGAATGTGCTGAAAAGGACTTTAATGAATTTCATAAAAAAATATTTATTATAAAGGATCTTTTGTGATCTTTCAGTAAGAAGTGTTAGAATAAAGTGTATGGGGCTTAAGAATAAATAAAAAATGAAATGTGCGTAAAAATTATATGTTTGTGTATATAATTAATTGAATATGTTATGGTGATTATTTTATAAGCAAAATAAAAATATTAAAATTCAATAAATGATTTAAATATATGTATATATAATACCAATCAATAAAATAAACTTAAAAAAAAAGATTATAATAACAGCTAAGTCCTGAATTAATAGTGCTGTTTTAAATTTAGTATATATATATATATGTACAAATATATATATAATATTACTAATAATATTCTATATTATAGTAATAATTTATACCAATTTTCTATATTATAGTAATAATTTATACCAATATATTGTTTACATGCATTACATACGATGGTTATAAGTACATGATATGTCATGCAGATGTTTTAGTGAATATGCAATACAAAACATTTTAATTAAATGAAGTCTAAATTAATCATTCAAGTCTTATAAAAATTAATTTAAACAAAATTAATCTAATCATTAAACAATAAAAATCAACATTATTCATGGGATACTCATTTAAATCGTTCGATTTGATTTCATTTGAACTAAATTAAAAATGTGTTTATTAATAAATTAACATAAAATCAATTTAAGATTTTAAACACAATTTATAATAAAATCATTGAGTACTATAAATCCTAAATATATTCGTATATTAGGAATTTAAAGTCCAACTAAGTAAATTAATAACAATCATATAATACCATAAAAAAGAAGAAAACTCAACTCAGTTTTGAGATCTTCCCAAAGGGTTAAAAACTGGAATTCTTCATTCGTCTAACCGATCAATGTAGCGCTTAACAGGCAGAAGTACTAACAATCAAAAAAGTAGCTTTCTCAGACTCACGGTAACCAAAATACGTCAGGTGACTGCTGTCATCATCATCAATTCCTATATCTCCCATTGGAACATAGGGCCTCAAATAAGGCGACAACTATAGCAACAGTGAAAAAGAAAAATATTATAAGAAAACTACTAACAAAGCTAAGAATAATAAAAGCTTAAGAAAAATAAATGTGCTATTAAAAGTGGGAGAAAGAAATATTCTTACATATATATATAAGCAATTTATTCCTAATTCTATGTTAGAAATAAAAATTTCAACAATTTTCTGTACTTCAAAACAATTACCTCCTCTACGACACCACTAGTTAGTCCAGATTTGGCGCTATACTACTAAATCATTAAATTTAAAATAGAAATAACTTTTTATGATTTATTTATAGATTCTCCAAATAACTTCACGACCTTAGTAACTTCCAGTTTTAATTAATTTTAAATGAAATTTAATTAATTTAATATATTATTAATTTATTTTAAATTGCAGCAAATAACTCTCTTATATGCTTCACTGTATTAACTATAATACTAAGCTCCTGGTTGGTGCAAGAAATCGGAGCTGATTGTATTTGGTATGGAGAAAGCCATATGATAGGAGCACATTGGGTTAATAAACAACCTGAAAAACCGGAACCGCAAGAACTTAAAGATGAGGTCGCAATTGAAATAATAAAAAAACGGTGTCCCGTTTTGTACGAAGAATATGAAAATAATGGCAGTAAGTACTTTTAGGTGCAACCACTTAATTTTCCACAAACAAATATATATGTCTATATGTAAATAAAATATTTTATCTAATCACCTGGTGAAAATCTAGACTAACAAATACCTCATAGTGTGCCAAATATGCAGACTAATGTATCGTGTGTAGGAAGTCAATTCAAATAAAATACGAATATTTATGAAATCAATTGAGATTAGTATCATATTGTATTTATTAGTATTATTTTTGAAATACTGATTCATACACAATCCAAAGTAACATTAGTGTTTCCAAAATACTCATATTAAATTTTGTCAAACTAACTTAATCCAAGTATATACCTTTGTCATCTTGTCACAAGATATATGATAGCGTTAAGTAAACGTTTAAAAGCTTTAAATTTTAAAAGTATCAAATTATATATCACAAATAGAATTGAATATTGAATTAAAGATTATTATATACTAACAATCATTACGTACCTTTACTGAACTCCTAAATCGGAACTTCTAACCATTTATAGTACTTTATCTACATCAGAGTTTCTTTCGTAACTTGTCTCCAGTGAAGTTGGTCCATGGCTTTTGTTTCGGAATTGTGTACATTTTTAATATATACTTAATGATAGTTTTACTTTTCAAAAATTTTATTATATCAGCCATGTAGTTTTATAGCATATAGATTAAATTCTTGATTTGAATAATACTAAAAAAAATAATTTTTTATAATATTATGATTATCATAAATATTATTGTTTACGACTTCCAACCTAATTAAAGGCTTATAAAAATCCCCAATGATAAATAATGAAACATCGCTTATAAAATTTTATTATTGTTAAAGAAATATTGCCCATGTATTTCTATACATCTAAAATAGATCTAAAATTTTTAAATTTAATTAAAAAAAAAATAAATTAATAATTTTTTATAATGAAAATTTTAATACTACTGATATAAATTTATTTTAGCTCCATATTTTTGATTTATTATAAACAATTACTTAAACATTAGAGTTTGCTCTATTTATTGCAATTACGTTGCTCATCACTTTAATTTTCCTTGAAATTTTTGTTCAGATTGGATTTATCATGTGCATTATGGCAACGTCCACACGTAAGGAATCAAATCATATAAATTCTTAATAAATTCCTCTCATTGAGTATTATTTCATTAAAGTTTTATCAAAATAGGTTGGATGGTATCCAAGTGCACAGAAAATCTTATTAACACATATTTAAATATTTAAAATTATTATTATTTATATTAATTATTATTTATCATTATTGTATTAATCATTACAAAGTGTTACTTTTTCTAATAAAAGTCCTATTATTATTTTCACAGAAATAGAATTATGCTGCGATGCAGCTCAAATTTACACCATGGATGCTGGCATGACTCAGGCAGATGGTATATATGCGCGTTGTCCAACATGTGTGCTCAACATGGCTTTATCAATTTGTTGGATGACTTGTGGACAAAATCAAACAGAATTTTTAATTCCTCTTAATAAAGAAGATGGAAACTATAAGTATGTTGCGGAAATAGATTATAAAATTGATGATGCCTTTTCTGAAAAAGTATATGATAACTGCAAAGGCATACAACATACACAAACTGGACGACCTGCATTGGATTTGGCATGCGGTCCCTATAATGCTAAAACATGTGACCACAGGAAATGGTACAATTTCATGGGAGATCAAAGTATAAATGAATTTGTACCTTTTCCAATTAATTATAAATTTTTGGATGAAACATCTGAGGAGGGACGATTACTACTGTATCCATTAAATTGTTCACAATCTTACGAGAATTCGCATGCTTGTTCATGTGTTGATTGTAGTGACTCTTGTCCAATTGGTAATGAGCCAACCGGATTGGAAGATGGATTTTTAATAGCTGGCTTATATGGTGTAACATTTATAGTCGCTTTAGTAGTGGGCGTTCTTATAATCGTTTTGATTTTCTTCGATTTTATGAATATTTGTTTGCCCAAATGGAGTTTACCAGTATGGTTAAGTGGATATAGCGGCGTAAATAAAATTTTGTATAAAATGTTTAAGGCATGGGGCACATTTTGCGCAAAACATCCAGTATTAGTTCTTGCAATTTGTTCCTGGGTAATCGGTGGACTTGCTTATGGCATAAGATATATGGAAGTTATAACAGATCCTGTAGAGTTGTGGGCGAATGAAGAAAGTGATACACGCGTTAATAAAGATTATTTCGATTCACATTTTAGTCCTTTCTATCGGACTAACCAAATATTTCTCAAACCAAAAAATACAGCTACGGTAAATCTATATTACTTATATATTAAAAAGCATCGAACTTTTTAAGAACCTAATATAAGTGACAGTTTTTTAACATTTTTCTTTTATTTAGTTTACACACGAGACAGAAAATATGGTTTTGACTTTTGGACCAGCTTACGAAAAAAATTTTATGTTAGAAGTTTTCAGATTACAGCAAGAAATTGAAGATATCGGTTTGAACGGAGGAGTTCAATTGCATGAAGTTTGTTATGCACCCGTATTATATCCCGGCGAGAAGCCAACAACTGAGAAATGCCTTGTACAATCCGTGTTTGGCTTTTTCCAAAATGATTTAGAACGATTTAATACCGAATATGAAGACCAGAACGGTTACACGATTAATTATCTTAATCATTTGGATGATTGCCTTAGGTAAGTAAAAAATAAATATTTTTTAAATATAATCTATTTTTAATGATTAAAATTATTGTAAAATAAGATACAATTTTAAAATATAAAATTCTTTGTTGTGAAAAGGAAAAGGAAAAGATCTTTAATCTGTTTTCTTGTATAAAAAACGTTTATATTATATATATTAGTATTTTTGTAATGTTCAATTATGGTGAAAAACCTTAGTCTAAGCAGAAAGACACATGGCCATCTATGGGACAAGTACAGATCAAAAAATTACTGCGAAATTTAATTCACATACTGTCCACAAATAACACTTACTTTACATTTATTGAACGTTTTTTGTTCAGAAACTTCTTAATCTAGAACAACAAAGCACGACTCACGCCTCGAAATGTCCCTAATTAACCACAGTTTTGCAAATATTCCTTGGTATATTTTGATACAATTAAATAATTTTATTTTTTTGGTATGGTTTCGTATGTATTTGTTTCTGCGGTCCTCCAATCTACACAGTCATTTGTAATGGCTCGCGATCATATCTGATTTAATAACAACTTCATATTTACACTATAATCGTCAATATTGTTTATTTTTCATTTATTTGTTATTTTTTGTGAATTATTTTATTTTATTTTTATAAATCAGTCCACTATTTTCCAAACTTCTGGGCAATCATAACCTCTCCACCTCAGTCGCTAAAGGACAAATAAGTTTAAACATTAAAATTTTGCTATAGAGTTCTATAAAAGTAATATTTTATATTTATATTTTATATATTCATTTTTATATATAGTTCATTGTTTTTTTTTTAATATACAATATAATATATAAAGAATGTTACCGTAACAATTAATATAATTCAAAACATTAAATTTATTTTTTTGTTATTCGAATTCAGAGTACCAATGTTAGAAGATTGTTTTGGTCTCTATGGCGGCCCTATAGAACCTAGTGTTGCAGTCGGAGGTAATTATTTATACACTAACAACATAGTTTTGCTTATTATTATTTACGAATAACTTTTTCAGGAATGCCAAAAGTTGATCCCAACGAAGATCCCGACTATCTATTAGCAACCGGTTTGGCATTAACATTTCTGGGTAAAAATCACAATAATGAAGCTCTTCTGGAACCAAATTTAGAATGGGAGAAAAACTTTATTGATTTGCTAAAAAATTATACAAACAATTCCATTGAAATAGCATTCTCAGCAGAACGTTCCATTCAAGATGCTATCATTGAACTCTCCGAGGGTGAAGTTTCAACAGTCGTAATCAGTTACGTTGTTATGTTTATTTATGTAGCAATAGCTTTGGGAAAAATACGTAGCTGTGTGGGATTCTTCCGTGAATCTAAAATTGTATTAGCTATAGGTGGTATAGTTATCGTACTGGTATCAGTTGTTTGCAGTTTAGGTTTCTGGGGTTATTTAAAAGTAACAACAACCATGTTAGCCATTGAAGTAATTCCATTTTTGGTATTAGCAGTTGGTGTTGATAATATTTTCATAATGGTACACACCTATCATCGATTAGATCGGACTCAACATACAACTGTAGCAGAAGCTATTGGTGAAGCTATAGGATTAGTTGGACCCTCTATTTTGCAAACTGCTGGTTCTGAATTTGCATGTTTTGCCATAGGTAAGGAGTAATGATAATATTTTCTATTATATGTGTGTGGAATATTTAATTGATAATTGTATTTTAAAGGTGCCATTTCGGATATGCCTGCTGTTAAAACATTTGCTTTATATGCTGCTGCTGCTATCTCCTTAGATTTCTTGTTCCAAATTACAGCTTTTGTTGCACTAATGGCATTGGATGAACGACGTTACGAATCAGGACGTTTGGATCTTATTTGCTGTGTTCGTACATCTAAAAACGTTGAACATGATAATGATGTAGGATTTTTAGAAAAACTATTTAAAAACTTCTACACACCATTCCTGTTGTCCAAGTAAGCTTAGAGTAAAATATATATTTACCACATTTTCGAAGTCGATTATAATAATTATTATATTGTTAGACCAGTTAAATTCATTGTGTTGCTTATATTCACTATAATCACTTGTCTATCATTGATGGTTGTACCGTCTATTGAACTCGGCTTGGATCAAGAAATGTCAATGCCAAAGGACTCGCATGTAGTTAAATATTTCCGTTTTATGTCTGAACTCCTAGCAACGGGTGCACCGGTCTATTGGGTAATTAAGCCAGGACTGAATTATACTGAAAGAGATCATCAGAATTTAATTTGTGGCGGAGTAGAGTGCAACAATAATTCGATGTCTGTTATGTTGTACACACAATCACGTTATCCAGATATGTAAGTATTAAGTTAACTTAAGAAATTAGTTTAATTAAATAGTTATTTCTTAAAAGCACTTATCTTGCACGTCCGGCTTCATCGTGGATTGATGATTACATTGATTGGTTGAGTATATCGGATTGCTGCAAAGTCAACGCAACAAGTGGTGAATTTTGCCCTAGCAGTAAGTAACGCGATATTTGATTGAATAATTAAAAATAAATTAATTCATTCTTACTCAAATTTAATCATTAAAATATTTTAATTAATTTAATTTTTAGTAAAATTAAATTTTGAAAATAATTTACTTCTCTATTGTGAGATATACCTAACTAACCTTTTCTTACTTCTCAATCGAATGGCTACAGCTCAATATAAATAATTATGTTATTATCATTTATTAGATTCAAAAAGTGATGATTGTGAACCATGCAGTCGTGAGTTCACAGAGGATGGCCTAAGACCTTCAAGCGAAACATTTCGCAAGTACGTACCATTTTTCTTATCTGATTTAGCAGATGCTGAGTGTGCTAAAGCTGGAAGAGCCTCATATGCTGATGTAAGTTGATTAATACATTATTATATACATATATTTGTTTTAATAGTGTGTAATTCTTACATGTCTAGGCGGTTATATATACTTTGGATCAATATGGCGAAAGTACCATAACGGATACATACCTAATGCAATATTCTACGACTTCAACTACTTCCATACAATTTTATTCAGCTCTAAGAGAAGCGAATAGAGTAGCTGAAGAAATTAATGACATGCTTTCGAAAAATAATGTAGATGCTACAGTTTTCCCATACTGTGTATTCTTTATCTTCTATGAACAATATTTAACAATTTGGGATGATGCACTATTTTCACTATCTATATCTTTGGCAGCAATATTTTTGGTGACGTTCTTGATCACTGGTTTTGATATTATTTCATCTTTAATGGTTACATTCATGGTGTTGATTATACTTATAAATATGGGTGGCATGATGTGGGCTTGGAATATAACACTAAATGCGGTCTCTTTGGTCAATTTAGTCGTGTGTGTTGGTATTGGTGTTGAATTTGTAGCACACATTATACGCGCCTTTAAAAATTGTATTGGTACCAATCAGGAACGTGCCAGTACAGCGCTCTCATTGACCGGTAGTAGTGTTTTGTCTGGTATTACACTTACGAAATTTGCTGGTATTGCAGTTTTAGGATTTTCGAAATCACAAGTATTTCAAGTATTTTACTTCCGTATGTACCTAGGCATCGTGCTTATTGGTGCAGCCCACGGTCTGATATTATTACCGGTTGTACTCAGTTTATTTGGACCTACAAATAAACGAAATAAAGTAGATTCAAATAAAATTGAAGAAATTAGTTAAGTTTAATTAGCTTTGTTAGATAGAGAATATGTTTAATATGCAATATGTATATATAATTTTTAATTTTATACTCGTATAATTAATAAAATGGCTTCTTTTTTAGTACAAATAACTGTGTACTGATTTTCTTCTTAATTACTTTAATTTTATAATAAACAAAAAAGTAAATTAAAACAAACTACGAATATTGGTATGGAGGGTGATTTTAAAATCTTAGGAACTACCTATATAGAAAAATAGAAGTTGATTGTATATACTGCTAAATATACGTATACATATAAACATCAGCTTCTACACAAAGATTGCATAGACACTCTAAAAAAACACAAAACGAATATCTCGAGATCTATACAACACACTATAAGAGCCAATAAAACCACTCCCATCAACACGTGTCATGTAGGGCAATGTGCAAGGCGTATGATTCATATCGACACTACTATTATTAGGCATATTAACAATATAAGCAAAGTTATTAGGTCCCATATAATGATCGCCTAACACATGACATGATGGGGTAATGTTTAGGAAGCCTAAGCAGAAGAAATCGAAGCAGAGAAACCCGAAACTAAAGTTGGTGAACGCTGTGAACTAATGATGAAATCATGAAGTAAAGCAATTTCAGGAATAAGAAATTAGATAACTAAAGCTCGAATCATATTGAATGAAGATGACAGTAACTCTAGAAGAAGATACAAATAGTGTTAACTCACATATGATGAGAATAATAATGATAATCTCAGGAAAGGTACACCTATAATGGATATTCACCAACTGACTACTACTAAACAAGGACAAAATGCGAAATTTTATTTTTTTTTTTTAATTTTTTCAACCTGGCTGCCACATTTATGTTTAAAGAAACCATTATGTCGTCGGCGTGCGCACTCATAAGGTAGCGCTTAGCGGAACAACTCTATTTCTTACAAGAAAGAATTTATAGTAATGGAGATGGAAGTTACTATATGTTAGGTCGAGACATATACAGAGTTATCTCACAAATGATGATGATGATAATGTCACAAAAGAAATATCCGGTTTACTAACTGAAGATAAATACAAAATGTAATCTGCAGTAATCACTTGATTATATATCTTGTGGTATAAAACATCACTATACAGTTGGAACTACTTAATCACTAATATTATGCAATATCGTTTTAACTTATATCTTAGAATCACTTCTCAACATCTACTTATCAACCGTAGTTTCAAAATTGGCGAAGAAAGCAAAACTTCTTGGCGGTACGCTTTCTTAGTGATAGGACATTTCTTATGATCTCTTACAACAACAACAACAACAACAACAACAACGCACATGCCTTAGTGAAATGTGATTCTAAATGTTAATAATTTTTAAAATGATTGTCATATCCTTGATTATTAAAGTTTTTTTAATTTTTTATTTTTTTTTTCAAATAGACTAACAGCAAACAAACGCTGTGATAGACCACAAATTTACTTTGGAAAAATTCAGGGCTATACGTTGCATGCCAAATATTAAATTGCATGGTAAACCGACTATTGCGAGTTTTACTTGTCCTTAATACTTAATACTTTTATTTAATATTAAAGCAAAAATAACCTAAATTGTTCAACTAAAAACATAAATATTGTAAGATGACATTGGTAAAAACATGAAAAAAAACCATTTTAATAATATTCAAAATTTGGATATATATATGTTTATGTACTATTGTTAAAATTTATATAGTATGGCTCCATCATACTTTTTCAGCTGCCCTGAAGTTATATACGAAAATTGACAGGCTATCCTACTTACCACTATCTAATCTTAGAGTAATCACTCTCCGCACGGGGAGATACGCAGATCTTAGATCAATCACTGAATAATCATGAAGCTTATAGGCAATACATAAATTAGTCAATGAGATGGGTGGGACCCTGTAGTGCCCCCAGCTATCAAAGAGTAAAAGTGCCCAGTTGCGCTTACTCGAAAAAAAAGGATCAACATACAATTACAGAAAATTTAATATTAGTAATATTACAAATATTTAATATTAGTAATATTTATAAAAAATTTTAATTAATTCTGTTTTAAAATTAATGAAAATTTTTATCTACATTATTTTAATTTAAAAATAAATATTATTTATATTTATATAAATATTATATTATAGTTGTGTTATATAGTATATTTATTATAAGTATCATTTTTCCACCTTCTTAAAAATATATTATATTTATAAATAATATTAAATTGATATTTTAAAAAATATTTTAGAATTAAAATACAAAAAAAATTAAAAAAAGTATTGTTTAAAATTTCAGTACCCCTTTATATGTAATATGTATTATTATCTTGTGTTATATGTATTATCTTGCATACTTCGTTGTGTATTGTTCTGGTATTTCTTTGGTTTTTCTCGTATTCACTGCAAGCTGAATTCTCTTAGTTTCTGAAGGTTCATTAGGTTGCTTATGACTTTAATTTAATTTTATTTATGTTTGCTGTAAGCGAAATTCTCTTAATATCTAAATGTTCATTGGATTGTTCATCAGCTTTATTTACTTTTTAATTTAGTTGATTTTTGTTTATTTCAATAATTATAGTATCATCAATTAAATTAATAAAATTTCTTTTTCATATTCTGGAAAATGAAAGGAGCGTCACCCTTTCCCTTAAATCATATATGATACCCGTACATATTAATTATGTTTGATATAATTTTTTATATAACATTCAACCATAAAATATTGTAAATAACAATCTTAGATTTATGCCCAGTTTAATAGTTCAAAAACGAACTATACCATTGGCGCACTTCTTCGGTTATCTGATATAGTACTTTGAATTCAAAAACGCCCTTGAACACTCTTACACAAGTAATACTAAGTATAAACCAACTCTTTTTTTCTAAATTCACGATATTTTTATATATATTAATTTTTTATACAATAAATCGCAATCCATTAAACGCAGGTCTTTCGGTAATGCGATCTTTATATATTCTTTCTGCATTTACTGTTAAATCGCATCGAATTTTCGGTGCATTTATAAAGTTGAGTTCTTGCGTTTCGCTTCGATTCATATTATTAGGCAACCAACCATACCATTGATTTGCCAAATTGGGTAACGCCTCACGATACTGGATTTTTTCTCTCTGTATCTGTTGTCCATTATTTAAGTGCCCCAGTGACTGTTCATATTTGGAGTAAAATTTATATGTAACTGGATGAACTATAAAAATATACATTTTTCAGAAGAAATTGAAGAAATTGATATTATTGGTATTCTTGCTTACTTGTCTTACTTGCTGTGAAGTTATCAAAAATAAAACGATATTTATTCTGATTTGTTATGAGTTCCTTTTCAAATAAATATGGGAGTGGTTTTCTTTCGAATTCATCACTGCTTTCTTTTTTATTTTTTGTCTGTGAACTTACTTGAAGTATTGACATTATATCAAACTATAAAATTACTTAGTATACAAAATGCTTTAGAATATTTCTGGTAATTGTTCTGGCCTCTACGAATCACTAAAACCTACTGCGACTCGAAGTTGACAATCTCGCAAGTGCACCAAAAAGTATTTCGTGACCTGTTACTTAAGGAATCTATATATATCCATAACTTTCTTGAATTATTCTTACCTTACCTTCATTTTAATAAATGCTATTTCGTGCTTTAGTTACTTTTTATTTAATGAGCCTGTTGTTATGAAATTGTTTTCGTAATTTTTGATGCAAGTCTAATTCAATAAATTTTGTTCAGCTATTCACTTGCGAACTTTGTTTTATTAAAGGACATGAATAACAACAACAACAACAACAACAAAAAACAATCAAGGAAAACCGCAGTGCCATGATAGTCCTTAAAGTTATTCTTACAATAAATATTTAATTCTAGTAAAACATACTAAAAAACTTACTTAAAGTGCATATGTCTTATCTTTTTACTTTGGATTATTTATTATAACAAAACTTTCTATGTATAAGTTATAGTAAGAATTATCACTAGTTGTCTATATAATCAAATAAAAATAAATACAAGCAGTGAATGACTATGCTGTAAATATAATAAAATTAGAGTTATTTCAGCAATCAAGATAATAAAATTTTCATCCATTAATAAAACACAATGATTTACACTCCCGTCTACCCACTTAAATAATGCATAGAGTGTCGCACACAAAACACTTGTTAAGCAAAAGATGTATTGATTGTAGTCTTCAGAATAAATTGAAAGATATACTATAGAATATACCCATCACTTTCGGAAAAACCTATGACTGTATAATATATAACATACAATTATTGCAATAAATGTCGTACTCAAAACAGTTATCAAGCAAGAAACTGGATCCACTGTGATCTACAAAAAAAATTAAGTGATCTTCTAATAATATATACATACTGTAAACTTGTTACTACGGTCTTTCTTATGGAATACAACGCAATCGATTGTTGTGTTCAAGATAAATTGAGAGTTCCTCTATTGAATATACTAATGCCTTGTGACTACACAAGACACTATACATATTAATGGATTGATTGGTGTACTCGAAACACTAATTATGCAGGAAACTGCATTCGACAGTGGTTGTCAAGATAAATTGAGATTCCATACCTGATTCAATGCAATACATATATCAGTTTTTATATAACACACTTCAATTGATTACAGTCTTCAAGATAATTTTAGAGATCTGGTACAGAACATGCTGCTAACTTGTGACTGTATAAGAATTTATTACTTATGCAACATATTGGTATCGTCTATGGGATTCGATATAAATTGAGGAATTTAGAATATGTTAATTATTTTTATAATTTTAGAGATCTGGTACAAAACATGCTGCTAACTTGTGACTGTATAAGATTTTAATACTTATGCAACATATTGGTATCGTTTATGGAATTCGATATATATTGAGAAATTTAGAATATGTTAATTATTTGTATAACGAAAAGTCTTATACAGCCATAAAAAGCAAATGTAACCTCTATACATATATGAAAAGGCGGTATTTAAAAATTAACTTTACTAAAATTAAGCCCTTGATAATAAATGTTAAGAACGCTTCGCATTTAATCATTAAAACTGATAATATTGAAGAAG